GTAGCTTTGGGCTCCATATTTTTAAAAGGACATGGAAAAATTAGAGGGCCCAGAAATGGGTGACAAAAACCAGAAAGCTTAGAAGGCAAGACATTTGAGGTTGACAGAAATAGGCATGTTCAGCTGCAGGAAAAGGCAACTAAGAAAAGACATGAGTCTTTGACCTGACATCTGTCGAAGACTAGATAAAACACCTTTTTCAGTTGTTGCAGACAGCAGGATACATCAATGGCTTGATGTTTCAGCAATGTAGGTTTAGTTTTGTTATTAGAAAAAGAAGACATATTCACTGTTAGAACAGTGAGGCAATGGAATAGACAGACTGCCTACAGAAGCCGTGAAAACTCCATCATTGGGGGTTTTCAAGAGGAGACTGCATAAGCATTTGTCAGGGATGATCTATCAGTAGCTATGCTGCTGCTAAAAAGCAAGTTAGAAGCCCAGGAACACCCCCCCTCCCCAACATCCACAGACTCCTGGAAGATGGTAAGAGCTGGGAAGCCCAGAGCAGGTGGATACTGGAGAGGACCATGCTCAGCAGCAGGAAAGCAAAGCAGTAATTCACAACTGGCTTATTTATAAGAGGTTAAAATAATTGGAATAAGTTCATGGCAGGGATAAAGAAAGAGGAATTTTGGCTATCCAGTAAGATGATATGATGTGTGGAGTTATGCTTGCTGTCCCCAAGTTGCAGAGAATGGAGGGCATTTGGGTGTCCCACATTTCTGGGCTTTGTTGCTTGCCATGTGGGGTCCAGAAAGATTCCCCCCCTTTTCTGTTGCTACAGGTGTTGGGATTTCTGCCCCCCACCCCCCAACTTTCCTCAGAAGCATTGGGTGCTGGCTGCACTCTTCAGACCTCTGTAGCTCTCCTCCTTCCCACCAGGTAAACGAAGGAAAAGGAACAAATCATAGAATTAAGGGCTGGAAGGGACTTTGAAAGATCAGAGTCCAACCCCCCTGCTCTGGGCAGGAATACTGTTGAGATCAAATTATCCCATCAAGGTGTCTGTCCAGTCTTCTCCTGAAGACTTCAAAGGTTGGGGACTACACCACCTCTTTGGGAAGTCTATTCCAGATTCTGGTCACCCTTACCGCAAAGAAGTTTGTCCTTATATCCAACCTGAAACAATCCTCTAACAGTTTATGGCCATTGCTTCTTGTCCTCCCCTGGGCTGCCCTAGTGAACAGTTTTCCCTCTGAGCTCCCACTATTCACCCCTTACAAACTTATAGACGGCCACCAGGTGCCGTCCGCCCCTCCCAGATCTTCTCTTCCCCAGGCCAAATAGTCTCAGATCCCTTAAGTCTTCCCTCATAAGTTTTGTCCACCAGGCCCTTAATCATTGTTGTAGCCCTTCTCTGGAAGCTTTCAAGATTCTCCACATCTTTTTTGAAGTGCAGCACCCAGAACTGGACACACTATTGCAGCTAGGGTCTTCACCAGTGCCTAGTAGAAAGGAAGTATCACTTCCTTAGCTGTGCTTGTGACACGTCAGTTAACGCATCCCAGTATGCCATCAGCTCTGTTGACTACAGCATTGCACTGGCGGTTCATGTTCACCCTGTGATCAACCATAGCCCCAAGGTCCCTTTCAGCCATTGTGCTGGTCAGACATCTACTCCCAACCTATATTCACATTGCTGGTTACTTCTTCTCAAATGACGCACTATGTATTTATCCTTTAGATAAACAGATATGAATTATTCTACATTTGTAGAAAGTAGCATTATGGTACTCAAAGACAGGTTCAATTTTACTTACTAAACCAAAGGGTCTTCTCCCCTCTTCAAGAGGAAGGGGCCATCACAAAAAAAAGTGGTTGACGATAAGGGTGAGAGTCCTATATTTGGCTCACCTCACAGACAACATACATAAGAAACAAAAAGTTGAGCTAAAAGTGCATCTACTTTTTAGTAATACATACTATATTTTCTCACATACACCTTTTTTCCAAAAACCACATGCTGCAAGTAGGAGTGCATGTTATGTGCAAGAAATACTGTGGAAGCAGTTTCTGCCACTTATCAGGCAAAAGCAAAATATGCAGCTGATTCACAGGGAACTGGACAATAAGCAGGCTCAGCTCCCTAGTTGCTATTACTCAGTGACTTGCTACATTGAAAGATCTATTTTTGTTCTTCATTCTACCTTTCAAAAATAAGTTGTGTATCTTATTCCAGAGCATGTTGCAATATGGTAAATGACAGGTTTATCTCAGCATTACTGGCACAGAGACAATCCTGAAATCTACTTTAAATATTTAATTTTTCATTTTAAACTTACTTTTACATGTATGAAATGCCCTAAGTAGGACAAGTGTAAACACCGCTCTCAATTCAGCATTAAGAAAATAGGTTTTTAAAGACGTTCTACAGTTCATGAATTCTCACTTATGAAAACCATGTAACTAATAGGTTTTGAGCGTGAAGGAATAATATTTGAGGGGATGGAGTCAGAAGAGACAAGGACTGCATTATCAGGAATAGTGAAACAAATAATAGTACTACATGTTAAAGGAAAAGTGCTCAACTACTGGGAATTGACTTAAGATCAAGATTTACTACAGACAGGGCAGAGAGCCTTTTTAGTCAGTACTGACCTAGCTCACACCTGAACTGCTACTTAGATTAAGATTTCTGCATCATGTCCATTAACAATTCCATCAACCCTTTGACAGATTCATGGAATCACATCCCCATTCCACCTTTGGCTTCTTGTTGGAGAAAAGAAAAAGTGCTATTTAAAGTGTATGTTAGACCTAAAAATTGCTTATACAGCAACTGGGAATCAATCATTAGTTATTTTTCAGATTTTATAAGATACCATTCAATAAACCTGGGCAGGACAGTATCTTTTCAACACTATTCAGGTAAGCAGACACCTAAAAAGGCAACTGCCTGTTAATTTTGGGAACACCATAGAACTGAAGTCAGCCAGCACTTCTGCTTTCTTCCAATCCTGTAGAACTGCAGTAATTCTGAGAATCTGTCCTCAAAAGACTTAGTCCAGGCTTGTCCGCCATGCAGCCCACCAAGGCATTTTCTGTGGCCCACAGTGCTGCGACAGGAAAACAGTTTACTTTCGTTCCCACCCTTTGTTCCTCCCCCAGCGCCTCAGCAGCTTCCTATGGCTGCTGAAGGGCTCAGGAAGGGACAAGGTTCCCACACGCACCATGTCAGCTTGACATTGACGACGCAGTGCATGTGGGAAGAGGAGAGCCGTGTGCCGCTCACTACAGAATGAGCCCAGCTGGAGCAGCAGGGGTCAGCTACATTTTCCCCCTACCTGCGCTTGTCAGTCCCGAATGGCACACAGCTCTGCCACCGCCTCTGCTGGCTGGTGCCGACCCAGGCAGGTCTGTCCCATCGGGAGCAGCTGAAGCTGGATTCCCACATGCTGCTGGGGACAGGAGGAGCCCGGCCGCGTCGGCATCAGCCACCAGAAGCAGCAGCAGAGCCATGTGCCACTCGGGACTGACCAGTGCAGGCAGGGGAAAATGCAGCTCAGCCCTTGCCACTCCAGCCGGGCTCTCGCCGTCCCGAGCGGCGCACAGCTCCACCGCTGCTTCTGCTGGCCGGTGCAGACCCGGCCGGGCTCCTCCTGTCCCCACCAGTTCACGGGAACCGGCCCCCTTGGGGCCTTGCACGTGGGTGGCTGGGCCCGGAGAGCCGCCGCGCCCGGGGGGGGAGT